ACAACTGAAAACAACTAAACAAATAAAACTAGAATAAACCAATATATCGGATCATTAAAGGATTGTTATTTTCAATGGCCATAGTATGTGGATTTCGCTTTAACTAATGAGTCAGAACATCTAAACCACAGATTAGTTTTTTTCAAGGTATGGAGTTAGCACGTCCTTCCCCCTGACCCTGCTTTCTGATCCAACTCATTTTTCACCAATCAGAAACGTGAATCGAGAAACCGAATAGGAGAGAATACATAAGTTAAGGATTTCCATTACCAATATTAGTCACCGATTCGTGCTGTCATAATCATATCTCTCGATAGGTGTATTTCAAATAGTGAGGCTGAATACATTTTTATAGAAATGTTTGTTGGGGTCAACTTCCCGACTAAACGGGAGTTTCCCAAACAATTAAGAGCTTATGAGAAAGAGACCTGTCGTTTCGCTGTCCTAGAAAATCATCGACACAGAAACGAGTTTTATATGAAATATAACACTTCAAAATAGCGGTAAATTAGTTATTAATGTGTTCTAAATGAATTCATTTATTTTACCATAAATTTGTGGACTAATACGGTCAAAGTTCGATTAAATTTATTTTTCGAAATAGTTTCGTACCCTTCAAAGTAGGAAGTTAAATTTGTCACAGCTGTAGGAATTAAAGTATGATAACGGTGTAAATCGTCATTATAACTTGCTGAAAATTATTTTTGTCTAAATAAAAGAAAGAGGGAAGTCTTATCTTATAGATAATAAAATGGATGAAACCATCAATTAACTAGGTGAACAACACGGAAGTAATCGAAAAATTAGGATTAATATTAATGACCCGACAATATCAACAGTAAAAACGAACATTCATTTGAGGCTAACATTTTCACTGATTCTATTTGACTGAAATAGAGGATGCTTATTTTTATTGTGATCCAGTTGCAGGTGAAGGCAATGATGGCCGTAAATGAATGGACCAAAGAGATGGTTTTTGTGTCTATAATCTTGGTAGGAAAATTCCAATTGATATTTTTCTGAAGATGGTTAGTGTACAACAATTTAAAATTGTTGAAAGCTTCATGGGGGCTTTGTGTATGAACCTGAATCTTAAACCTTAGTTAATTCTCCTTGTTCACCAGACGAGATGTTATACAACTTTTACTAATTATAAATTTTTAAAATCATATATAAAGGGCTTTAAAATTAGCCTAGAAAGTGTGAAAGCTTAGATTGGTCATCACGTTTTCAATTCCCAAGGAGTATGTAATATTCAGTATTTTCGACCGCTTTTGTGTTCATTTGGCTGATAAATACTTAATGTTGGAGCGTAATTTTCATTACGGATTTCATTTCAAACGTCTAAAGTTATCAGAGATTGTCTATTATGGGCATGTCAGTGTATCTCAGCCGAACATAAACGGTAAATAGCACAAATATATTAAAAGTTAAGGTTTCAAATGAAATCTCTGATGAAAAATTACATGACTTATCAGCGCTCAAGCACTTAATGAACTGAGAATTGACTGAAGGTACTAGATATAACAATTTACTTGAACATAAAGAAATGTTAAGCATAACTTCAGTCAGAATATATTTGGATATAATTAACATAAGACTTATGTAAAGACTACTCATGTAATCCAAATACAAATAGGAAAATCATTGGCCAACAGTGGCTCAAAAACAAACATTTCAGAATATTCTTCTGATCTTGTTGGGATTCACATGATCTTCCAAGTGAAACTGTATAGCTTTCCTACTTCTCATAATTCTGAACATTTCATTAGTTCAAGTGAACAAACTAAATTTGTTTAAAATTATTAAAATGTAATAATTTAGACACCAGAATAAATTACCTTCCTTAAAAAGAACTTGTTACTATTGTTAACAGCATTTAATTCAAAATGTAATTGACATGGTCGAATGCAAGCATAACTTCTTGAACATATCTGACTGAGTGGTCTGTTTATATATATTGAATAATATCTAAGTACTTAACTCATTTCATTGTAGTTTGCTATTTCAACGAACTTCTCTATACTTCAGTCATGTGATTATATGACTTCTCATATTGGTTATTTTCATCTAATTTTCTGTGTATTCTATTCCTTTTTGATACATCATTTAGTAAGCAAACACTCTCATTTGTTTATATAACGGATGGTTTGTAATATATTCTCCCTCTCACACGTATATTACAATGATACGTTAATAAGACCAACAACATAAATTAGAGAATCAGATTAACACTAGATATGACTTTATTCAATATAATTACAAGCAGTCACACACTGTCAGTTAAGAGTAGAAATCAATGGTGAGAAGGAAAATCATATATTTGATAGTTCATAGGCTGTGTCTGTTTATCCACACTCAACGATCAATTATATTTTACTTTTACTACCACACATCACCTGCTTCTTTAAGTTAGTTACTTTTTAAGAAATAACATGTCATCAAATTATTTGTAAGTAATTAAGTCGTCATTAATACGTTTCTAAGTAAAAATTCAATTCTAAGTTCACCATGTACAATTATTTACAATATTATGTTTTCATAGTTGAAAGCATGAGTCAGTTGAAGCTAGACCACCATGAAAAACCTGGAAGCAATGGACAGCTGTTTCGTCCTATTGTGGGACTCCTCAGCAGTGTGCATCCACGATCCTGCCTCGCGAGATTCGAACCCAAGATCTACCAATCTCGCTCGCGGGCACTTAACCGACAGACCACTGAGCTGGCATTCGATGGTGTTAATGTCTAACTTCAACCAATCCACGAAGTTGTGCAATCGTTCACCAATTGTCTTCAGTGAGTTCCTATCTTACAACAGACGTGGTTTGAACTCCACTGGTCACTGCTTCTCACTAGCTTCAATTGACTCATGCTTTCAACTATGAAAATACTAAATCTCTACAAAAAAAACCTTCTGAGCATTACATTTATTAGTTCTGTACTATTTCACAAAAGTTTCAGTTAAACTTGGTTAAATTTTTCATATTTCACAAGGAAATAAACTACATAGCCGATCAAAGAAGCAAAATTCTAAAGGGCAGAAAAATTTTTAAAATGTTGGCACACAGCACTCCTGTATACAGTTATTCAGTCTATAAGCCATGACAACACATCAGAAAACAACACATATATTCCTCTTACTAGCATGAATGTTAGTTACTTAAATCCTTAAATGCTTCATTCGTTTGCTTACATATATGTACTTCTTAAATCCCATTCATTCAATCATTCCCATTCACATTTTTGATCATATATTTTTCATGTATTTATGACTTTGTGATATGCAATGTACAATGATAAACTGTAGTAATCGCTTCGTTTTATCTCTTAAGATTTATGCACCATCCGGAATTATTTAATAACGGCTTTTATGACGAATGTTATGACAAACATAGGAATTATTTCGAAGAAAAACCACTATAAACTAAAGAAGCTTTTTTCGAAAGAGTTTCAGCTGTAATCTAAGTCATAAAAGGTGTAATGAAACCTATTTTCAGAAATTACTGTGTTAAGAGTAGTGTTGAAGAATTAACACATACCGTTTTCAGTTTTGTAATCGCCAACAAAGTATGCAGTTTAACGGACTAGACTGATTTTTTTTTACTTCAGTTGATTGAAGATTAATTTTGAGTTCATTTTAAATTTCTTAATTGTTTTATATTTGTCCAGTCTTATTGGTGAGGGAAAAATAGGCTTGAACTAAAGGGTACTTTTATCGATTTGCAAATTATTTTAATTAGTCAGTTTGATAAATTCAAATATTTATTTATTAAATAGCTTAAACTCGATGAAAGATTATAAAATTGAAGATTGTTGTAAACGGTAGGATACTTGTTATTAACGCTAGGGTTTCTTGTTATAACAGTCCTTTCACTTTTTACACATATGTGGGACGTTAATTTACCTTAGGCGAATATCTACACTAGATTCCCTCCCAGTGTCTATTCTACAGGACGTCAACACAACTCAGATCAAGAACACGAGATTAGCCTAACTAGAACGTCAATATATTTCCACATCAAAATCCGACACAAACGAACAACAAGAACAGTCAATCAATAATAATAATAAGGATAGGGGAATATATAACACATATAACACCTGTCACATTATCGACATGTCTGACTCAGCAAAACAACCAATCATTATCATTCTCGCCCACACATCAAGGATTTAGCAAGATTTATGAGACATACGACTACTGGTTGAAGACCGTACATTAATTTCTTAAAGGAATTAAGTGTTGTTCAATAAAACGGCGGACACATGTTTCATTTCAAAATCGTCAATTATCAGTTATGCAGAATGACGTCATATACTGTAGTTTTTCTTTGATTTTTCATCTCTGCCTGAACGATAGATCTCGTACCATAGTTTCTTTATTCGCTGTAGGTTAAAGTGATGTGTGCACATGATTCAAAATTCTGAGTTGTACTGTGAACTGCTTGTAATTTCTGTACTTAATTTTACACTACGATTTCACCGTCCGAACGCAGCTCCTGAGTTCAACGTATATTAATTGTTTCATCCGAACTTTATTTTAAACACCTAGGTAGTATCGTTTAGTTTCACACATAAATTGTGACTCAAAGTGAGGTTCACCAGCTTGTAATTTATTTATCAGTTTTATAATCGCAGCAAGATACATGAATATCCTATCTAACTGGCCAATCTTGGTCAGACAAGTTGTCAGTCGAGAAAATGTTTGACGACATTTTTCATAGGCGTTCTTTGCAATTAACTTATTTTCTTTCAGAGTTGAAAAGGTCAAATGGCATTATCGGACTACATTTAAGATAAATGTTGTCTTAAATTTCAGAACTATCGACTACCATGTATAATTAATAGTACGAATCAGTTGAGACCATTTCAGTACTTATACACATATATAACCATAAATGTAATGAACGTAGTACAGTACTGTGCCGACAGTACTGTGCAACGACTCAGAACAACAGGGACATTAATAGCTCATTAAATTATTTTGAGAGAAGTATCCTTAAAGCTTCCGCAAGACAGATAATTATGATATCCTGATTTCTTAGTTCAATGTTTGAAATCAATTTCTCGGTTAATATTGATACACTGTTCAGATTTTGCTTGAACAATGTTCAACTAAAAAGTTACTGGAAGTTATCTAAATTATTTTTCAGAGAGGTTTATCTACTATTATAATCATCTGTCTGGAGTTTATCTATGATGGATACTTTTAAGTATATTTACCTTCAAATCAACGTCTGAGTTAATTGTAATTTGCTTACTACTGAAACTTTCCTCATCTATGATCTCTTTTTGTCAATTAATTCTAAGTGGAAGAAACACAAATAACTCTATTTCATGGTGAACAAATTTCCTGTACCGCTATATTCCGACTCGAGTGGAATATGTTTTTATACCAACCAATCCTCATAAGGCTTGATAAATTACCAGGTTCAAATTACCTTTGTACGCTACAGACCTTTTCATTCCTTTGAATAAAGTACATTATTGCATTCTCAGATCAGTTTAGAAAGATAGTCAGTGTCATACTGTAATAAATTATTCATCAGGTTCTTTTTGATTATATACTTGTTCCCCTTATCACAGATCGATTAGAAAAATCTCCTTAGTATGTTTTAATGACGTTCATTTAGGGCAGGATAAACTTTGCGAATACCCAATGATCAGCACATAACCAGGAACGTCGCTTACATAATATTTTCTATGTATTTATTGTGGAGAACCTTCATTAGTCAATAATAATACTGATATCTACAGCATAATAATAAATAATTTAATTACAAATGATTTGCGCAAATGCGTAAACTCTCGATCAATTCAAAGACAAAACATAATCAATTAAAAGGTTAACTGTACAACAAGGAGGAATTGTTTTCTTGACTGAGCACCAAAAGGGAGGGTAAACTAAAAAATAACTCATAAGGATATTTTCAATAAGTTCACAAATAAGTAATAAATATAACAAAAATAATAATGATAATTTTAATAAATAGCTTTCATTAAAAAAATGTTTATAAAAAAATGAGCTGAATATGTTTATAAATCATAATGTAATCTGTACATCTCAATGAAACTTTTATGACTGTTTACAGGTGACGATATATATATCTATATGTGTTAACAATAATTTATTCAAACGGGCTCCTTTTGTTCCCATGAATACTTTTTACTATAATGTCTTTTTATATCTTTCAGTTCATCTTCATCATCATCAGCGTAACCACCTTCTTCTTCATCTGTTCCAAGTGTTGCAAGAGGTGCGTCAGTAAGTGGAGGTGCTGAAGCTGTAGCTTCCAATCTAGGCTGTTTATTTTCTTTGGAACATCTTTCTTTCAAATTGACAATACCACGGGATAATTTCAAGCCTAAATGATGCATTTGATCGCAATCTCGTTTACAACGTGTTAAATCACGATAGAAATATTTTTCACGAAATATATGCCATAATTGACAAACTATTTCAGAACAAATCAATTCACCGGCATTGATAGCAATCATACGTAGTAGAAAAACACCATCATTACGTAAAAATAATAAAGTAAATTTTTCTACCATATATTTATCTTTTCTACTAACTTGTTCACCAAGTTTTAAATATTTTTTTATGAAATGTGTACGTGATTTTTCATAACTCATACGTGTAAACCACGTTGGTATACTGATTGCGGTAATTGTTGCAGCGAGAACAATCCAAAACCATAGAAACATGTAAATACGTTCATTAAGCATATTTACTGGTAGAACACATTGTGCTGTTGCATAATTATTAGATCCAAAATGCTTTAAAGGAACTAAACAAAATCCAACACGTGGAAAAATCATTGTCACTTCCCAATCAAGACCAGCTAAAATATTTCTAGAAATAGCTACACCAAATAATGTATAATTTGATTTTAAACCAAGAAATGATTGCATCATAAATATTTGTCCAACTGCATTTAATAAGTAAAGACATTTAATGAATAAATAAATCCCAAATAATCGTGTTCCAAGACGTTTGCTTACAAAGAATAAATAACCCCATTTCTTCATTCGACGACGTACTCGAGGCCATAATCCATGATGGTATTCACGTTGCTAAACAAAGAAAACAGAGAAGTCCTTGAGGAAGTTTATGTTTGTATAAAAATTATTACACAAAATTTTCATGGTTAAATGTAATACAAAATAAAGAATATTTCACCGAATATTCGTGTAATATCAAACATTTCTTTGCGATTGGTAAAGTCGAATAACCACTGGTTGCTTTGAGACGTTCATTTCATCATTTACTGATAGTTGATTGACTGACAATTAAGTCATTTTTCATTGTAATCTATTATTATTTCACTCAGTCGGTTAGTTGTTTTGTTTTTGTGTAATTTATCAGTCTATGGATGATTCTATGACTAAAATTATCAGTTAAACCATGTGAATTATGTCTAGTATATTATAATAGCAAGTGAGCCACCATAACTCTTTTCTTTTCTTGGAGTAGTAAACAGTTGACTTAAGTCATAAGAAAAGTTATTGAAATTAAAATCATTTCAACTGGAACGCTTCAGATAAGATAAAAGTTCGCTCATCGTTTTCACTAATAACTATCATCATCTAAAAATGTATATTATTGGAATCTATTAGTGAGAAAATTAAATCCACCCATGATTAAAGCAACCTATTATATGAATGGTTACACCTAATTAATTAGAAAATGGGCGCAATACACAGTGGTTAAATGAGACTTTCCGGGTTTGTATATCTTAAAGTAACATTTTTCAAAGTGACTGCTAATTCACAGTCAGCTGAGCATGAGTTTTGTATGAAGGTATGGTTAGGTTTATACACAAAATTATAAAACATTCTCAATAGTAAGTATCCACATGACAGAATCCCTTAATACTCCTTTTCCTAATGGATCAGTAAATCAGTAATATAAAACAACCGATTTTCTGGTGTGGTTGATAAGTAGGCCATCCCCATATGCAAATGGTTTGTCAAAAAATTCAAAGCTCGGAATTGTAATCTGAATAACAATTGCTGTCCTAAGTTTCAATTGAATTTGGAAAACTGATAATTTCATTGGTCGATATGCATGTGTTTAGTCGCCCTAGCGTCTATTTTGGGAGCTATATGTGTATGATAGAATACTACAAGCAAACTCATTCTATATGATCATAGTATCACTCAGACATATTAATGGCCTATCAGCAAAGTAGCATTGTGTTAATGTTTTGTTTGAAACATTTTTTTTCAAACATTAGTTTAAGTAGGAAGAATATATTTTTAAGATCATAGCGAATAAATTTGAAATAAACCCAACGTTTCACCTGGCAATCTGGTCCAAGCTTTTTCAAGGAAATATTTAATGTCTTACATCAACTCGGCGCCAAATACTGTAAAACTATTCGCTCTAATTCAGATGAAGGTTCTTAAACAGCTTAAGTAATCGTAATATTTAAATGAACTAGTGCACATGAGGTACGGAGCGATGAAAAATTTTGTATATATACAATTTATCTCACTGACTTATGAGGATTATTGTTTTAGTGGAATATATCAAAGAGTTATATCTGGTTATTAACAAGCCCGTGACACTAATATGTACAGTACTAAACTAATTCATAACTAAGTTCGTTCAAGGTGGTTTCGTGTATTCTGAGAGCAAGTTCTGTCAACAATCGATCCATTTAAACCAAAGACCTTGGTGCTCTTTCGCGTCTATAGTCATCTGTATGATCAAACCAAAGAACACCTTGTAAGTTTGGTGAACCTGGTACTACTAACTCACCGTAGAGGTATGTAGCTGTCCATGTTTCTGACTTCAATTAATTAGGGATTTTATAAAGCCTCCGACTAAAGTCACCATTGTGTAACTATCTTATTTCTTGCTAGTTTAAGTGTTAAACATAATTTGGTGAAAATAGCCTTATCTTATATCATGACATTCATGACCATCGTCGATCACATAAAAAGTGGTCGGGAAATTAGTTTTCTGAAGTGAAGATTTATTTTTGTCCTCAAGAAAAGATTTAGTTCACCAAATAAAAACAAATGGTGGTGACTAGTTCACCAACATGCGAAAGCCGAAAATTTACACTTGATACCAATTGGTTCATTTCCAGATAATGCATATCTTAGAACATTATCACTAACTAGTTAAAATTACCAACGAGAATAACTTTAAATGCATGTAGACATCACATTATCAAACTGAAAGTGTGATTTTACCAAATGCTCAAGAAACTCATTCATGCAGAGCCCGCTCTCTCAAGATGATGAGGAAAATAAGTAAATTTGATTTGTTATTTTTTCCATTATAGTAATGACAAAATCCATTGTATTCTATATTTTTATTTGGCAAAAATGACTACTTATAACAATTTCAGTAGGATTAATGGCAATGTTAGCATGATCCCTATCAATAAGTTTAAAAAAATAAATATTATTATAATCTCAGTCATCGTCTTGTTATGGGCAATGGAAATGAAAAATGCATTCAACGAAAAACAAGGCACAAACTAAAAAGAAAATCTGGAAAACTAAACACGTCTTTGTCTTAAATATTCTCAAGTCACCAGTAGTTTGATTCCTCGTAATCATAACATTTATTTGAATTTGAAAATGGAAATCTAGAAACCCCAAAACAAGCACACGAATACGTATCGAAACATTATTTAAACATAGGGCTGTCTTTCAGGTAGATCTATCAGTTCGATACTCGCTTTCTCACTATCTTGTTTATTATTCTTTAGTACTGATGACTCAGATGTCGGCACATTTCTCAAGCACCCATTTTCATTTGTTATAGTTGGAGAATCAATTCTTGACCGTCTGTTCCAACTACTTTCATTGTGGCTTAATCTCTGACTATGATGTTTATGATTTTCAACCACCCGCTCAATAACAATTCTATGGTAATTCAACCACATTTCATTGACAATATCAGACGTGACCATTTCACCAGCATTCGATGCAAGCATGCGTAACAGGAACATTCCATCACGTCGTAAGAATTTACGAGCAAATTTCTCAGCAAAATATAATTCAGATGAATTTAAAACATTCGACAGTTTAATGTAGTTTATCACAAACTGACTGCCACGATTTTGACAGGCGAATTGTAAACACCATCGAAGTAGACTGTGAAAATTCACTACGCAAACTAATAGAATCCACCACCAAAGAAATATGTAAATTTTTTCGTTTAACATATTTACTGGTAAGACACATTGAGCTGTAGCAGTGTTAACTTTTGTACCCAAGTGTTTTACTGGTGCATAACAATAAGCTACACGTGGAAATATTAAAGTTGATCGCCAATCTTCACCATGTACTATATTATATAAAATACTCATACCAAATAAACTAGAATTATAGTTTGTAAAACCGAGAAAATATTGCATTAAAAATAATTGGCTAACTGAATTACACAAATAAAAGAGCTTTACAAGTAAATACATCAGTGATAGGAACGTTCCAGTGTAACGAACACATTTAAGAATATTAACTGTATTACGATATCTATGCGTTACGCGTGAAATTTCATTGTCCTCACTATCAGTATCATCATTGATTCGTACAATCTCATCATGAAATCCATCATTTTTAGTTTTGTCTGAATAGTATCTAGCAGTAGTAGTAGGCGTTTGTCCGTTGACATTTGGTGCAATATTGATGCAAGAATCAAAGTCTGACCCGTGTTTACGAATATGGTATGATTTTGATACAAGTCGTTTTTTCTGTTGCTAAAATCCATTCTCAACCAGTGAGATAAAATGAGAGTTTTGCCGCCATACCAGCCAACCAAGTGAAAATAAATTAAATAATGTACCACCCACATAAAAACAAATCGTAATTAATAAACAAGTATAGAATATTGCATGCAAGAATCCATGATTGCAAAACAGCAACATTTTGTTATTGCATTGGTGCAGAACCAACAGAGAAGGGGTGGGAAAGTTAGACAATAGACATGCATGAAATGAAAGCAAATAAATTATGCATTCATATTATTTTTTGTTAACATTAAACAATAAAAGGATGAGCAAATACACATGCATTAGTTGAAACGACTATGATAACATTTTACGAATCTATAAATATGTTTATTACACACTGTTGATGATCTCATGCAAAACAATAACACTGTATGTTAAAATCAGCAAAATTAAGAGTGTGCATGCATGGACACATGTATATGACTAACAACTCATTTATGACATAAATGGGGAAAGGGAGATAATATTGTATATTGAACATTGAAAGTGATTTATCCTTAAAACTACTTAGGTAAATGTAATACAATGAATTAGGAAGCATGTTTCATCATAGATGACTCTGATGAAAAGATGTATATGATTAAAAAAAATTGTAAACACCTAGTATATATACATATAAGGAAAACAAATATATGATTGAAATCAGGAACCCACACTAGGATGAAACAGCTTTCTGGTACTTTCACGTTTTTAGTAGTGGTCTAACGTAGATCGGTTCATGATTTCAACGACATTCAATAATCTTTACAACCTCCACATTACAATGTCTAGTCATTTGATCCATCTGACTTAAAAAGCTCAGTATGATCACAGTTTATCACAATATGTAATATGATTTGATTACGTTTAGTGATCGATTGATAATGATCAAGACGTGAATTCAGTAAAATTAATCACCTCATGCATTTATTACAAAGTATTACAGTTATCTTGTTAGCTTATAGAGATTAATTGATTATGATTAACTACAACGCAATTATTTTCTAATTAAATCTAAATTATTAGTTGACCTTTAACCTTTCCTTAAGTCATATACAGAACTAATTACTTATGTTTATGAATAACAATATGAAAAATTTCAATCAGTTTTACGGGTAATAACTTATGTTCATTTTGAACACTGCATTACAATTAATAGCAATGTAAATCAATGAAATAGATTAGAATTTAATGGAAATATTGTGTAAGCTCATTTGAAAACATTATGTAATCATTCATTAATGATTAACTTTATAAAAAATTTCACATTTGATTGATAGTTAGATAGTAAGATAATAAGATCAACATGAACTCTGGAAAAGATTTTTGATAAATAATCTTATAAAAATAAAGATTATTTCCTTTTAGTTAGGTTTATTAAATATGAATTAAAGATGTCATATCAATCGTTGAGTTCATGAGTTAATTGAAGCTAGATCACCATGGGAAACCTGAAAGCACTGGACGGCCGTTTCGTCTTATTGTAGGGCTCCTCAGCAGTGCGCATCCACGACTCCGCCTCGCGAGATTCGAACCCAGGACCTATCAGTCTCGCGCGCGAGTGCTTAACCTCTACAACCACTGAGCCGGCATCCAACGGTGTTAATGTCTAACTTCAACCGATTTACGAAATTGAGAGACACATCCACCAGATGTAATAGTCAAATCTTTTAAGGTTACTAAACTAAATCAGTAAATGTATAT